ATATATATATATCTTTAATTTTCAGAACCAAATTGTTGATTTACTTATTTATTATTTGAAAGGAAAACATGTGCAGCTAACTTACTGTATCCTATGCCTGGTCTTTTTAAATGCTGGGTTGAAAGTTTTCTAAAAATATCCTAGTAAAGCCCTGGTGACATTTTTCAAGAGTGGCTTTGGGCTTGGTTTTACTGTGCATCTGGTGTTTTGGTTTCCAAGGTGGAATATAAGAAGGACCTGGAAAGTAGTAAAGGTCACAGTATCAACTACTGTGAGACGCCTCAATTCAGGAACGTGAGCAAGATCTCAAAATTCACCAGTGATGTGAGTTTTTAACACCTCAGCGTTGGTTTGGGGCTTTGTTGATGAGCTAGTTTCTAGGTCTCTTAAGAGACAGTCTGTGTGAATATATCTGTTTGTCCCGGAAGCATGGCCTCTTAGGCACGAATACCTAAGAGTTTTGATTAAGGTTGCCTGCAGGCAGTAGTCCATGTAGTGTTAAATTCTGCCACGCCCCCCGCCGCACACATGACCTTGAGTCCTCATGGTAGCACCCATCCTCTTGTGTTCTTCCTGTGTAGCAGTAGCTGGCTCCTGGTGGTGAATGCTGGGGAGGGGAGGCTGGCTGAGCATGTAACATCGCCTCTCAATGTGACCTCGTGCTTCTTAGTACCCGATCTCCTTTAACCTGGGGACCCAGATGTTCTTTCCTCATTTCACAGATGAGTAGAGACATGCTAGAGTGACATTCGCAAATCTGGAAATTCCCAAAGTTCTGGGGACGTTTCGTTGAGCACATCAAGGACCCATACTAGATGTGATTTTATTTCTGCTTAGCTCCACATAATAGTAGAATTTAAAATCCTGAGGGTATTTGTAAGGTTCAGGGAGGAATTTATTGCCTAAATGTAGGGGTTAAGAGCACCAGCTTCGGAGCTGACAGTCCTGGCTCCATGATTAGCCAAGTGTTCGACTTTGGGCAACTTGTTTAAGCTCTCTGAGCCACTTTGTCCACCTATAAAATGGGGATGATACTAAGTCCCTCCTCGTCATGGAGTGTTTGTGAAGATGAGCCGAGTAGGATCGTGTCTCGGACATAGTAATAGATTTGTCTAAAGAATTTCACTGCCTGTAGGGCGCCTGGGTGGCTCAGTCAGTTAAGAGTCCAACTTCGGATCAGGTCATGATCTCACAGTTTGTGGGTTCGAGCCCCGCGTTGGGCTGTGTGCTGACAGCTCAGAGCCCGGAGCCTGCTTCAGATTCTGTGTCTCCCTCTCTCTCCGCTCCTCCCCCACTCACGCTCTGCCTCTCTCTGTCTCTCAAAAATAAGTAAACATTAAAAAAAAAAAAGGATCGCTGCCTAGAAACTCTATGGCCTCCCAGGGTAGATTTTTTTTTTTTCAACGTTTATTTTATTTTTGGGACAGAGAGAGACAGAGCATGAACGGGGGAGGGGCAGAGAGAGAGGGAGACACAGAATCGGAAACAGGCTCCAGGCTCTGAGCCATCAGCCCCGAGCCTGACACGGGGCTCGAACTCACAGACCGCGAGATCGTGACCTGGCTGAAGTCGGACGCTTAACCGACTGCGCCACCCAGGCGCCCCGAGGGTAGATTATTTTAACGTAGCTTCATTAGAAGCCACCCAAACTGGTCCTGTTTACGACTTCTTGGTATCCCGTTTTGGTTTTCTCTTCATTTGGTAAGCTGCATTTGGGACATGACGTCATTACTTCCCATGGTTTTAGTCGTAACCCACTTATGGTGTAAAAAATCACAGAATTTGGCAAAGCTCAGGTTATATTCTTCATAGAATTAGAAACGGAGGCTATATAGCCTGCAGTGATTTACATGAGCCCCGAGCGCCTGCATAATCAGCGCCTGTCCGTTGGGGAGCGCCACACGCTCAGGGTAGGTTTTCACAGGGGGAAAAAGCTGGTATATTTACAATTAGAAACGTTCCAAGAAAACTGGGTCTGTTGTGTACTGCCTGTGCTCACCCAGATCCTATGTTTGGTTGTGTGCCCGTGTTCTGGCCTCACTCCAGCCTCTTGTGCTTGCTTGAAGTGTAAGTTGTTTTGTTAAAAAAGGGTTTGTCTTTTTTACTCAGCAAGGCACTGACTACCTCGGTAGGTTCTATGTAATCATTTACGTTAACAATTTAGTGCATTAAGATGAGTAGTAGTTTATCTTCAACAGGTTGGGAGGAGAATGCTTTTCTTGAAAGTTTTGTGTTTCCGTGTAGAATAAATATAAAGAAAACTACCAGAACCACATGAGAGGCCACTATGAAGGAGTTGGTATGGACAGACGGACCCTCCATGCTATGAAGGTTGGAAGCCTGGCAAGCAATGTGAGTCCTAGTTTGAAGGGCCTGTAGGTCTGGGGACCTGTTGGGGCGGAGGGAGGTGAAACGTGAAGATTTCAGCCAATTCTTTTTCGACTTCCCTTTGTAAAAGTCAGTGTTCTATTGTGTAAACACTAACCGATACCACCAAAGCTAGGTTGACAATTTGCAAAAGCTTCAATTTATTGGTCTCAGCTTTCTCTGGCTTAAAGAGTTCTTAAATGTGTTATCATGGATCTAGTGCGAGAAAAACATTCCGTTTCTGAGAGAGAGAGAAAAATGGCTGAGCATAATTCTTATTTGAAATCCCTCAAATTTCCATAGTGTTTGTGGCTTGTTTGGAGTTGGTTAGTGGGTTGGTTGGTTCGTTCATTTATTCAATGGTAGTGTTCACTGAAGTCCTCCTGTGGGCAAGTGCCGGTCAAGGTGGTGGGATAACGAAATAGATCGGATCCCATTGTGTGTAATCTGTTGATCTCTCCTTGGCTTTGTCAGTTGGGTTGACAGGGTTGCAAATGTCAGGTTGTAAATCTTGGAGGTACAGGGCACTTAAAAGAAACTGATTTCATTATTAAAACATACAAAGGTCAAATTTCCTCTGCTTGAGAATGTCAAATTTGACCTATAGAAAAAAAAAATTTTTAATCTTGACTTTTCGTTTATTTTCTGGGGGTTTAGCCAAGAAGCTCTTTCATCATATACCCATGTGCCACTGCTTCCCTTTGTAAGGGGTTCCATAATTAATAAGAAAGATAAAATAAAAATGTGCTACAGACGGAAGTTCACTAATTTTGGATTAATTAAGAATTCAAATGAATTAAAGGCAAAGTGCGAACATAATTTAATTTTCCTTGGAGGTGGTGAAACTGAATTAATTTTATTTCTTGTTACTTTTTAGAAGTTTCCTATGTCATTCAAACAAGGTCCAAAGAAAGTGGGGACTAATTTCTTTCTTTCTTTCTTTTTCTTTGTGTTTCAGGTTGCCTACAAGGCTGATTATAAGCACGATGTTGTGGACTACAACTACCCAGCCACTCTTACTCCTTCCTATCAAACCACAGTGAGACTGGTTCCCTTGAAAGATGTAAGTTCTCTTCCGATAGCACCTTCTGCTTTATTGCTTGTCCCTTCCTCCTGTGGAGTGATTCTTAAGTAGCGAGATGGAAAGAGATAAGATACAACAGTTCGTAACAGATGGAAGGGATTAAGAAGGGGAACTTTCCCACTAGGAAGCCCACGTATGCATGTTTGGAAACTCTTAGATTTTCCATGTAAGGTGGGGACAACTCTGGTTCCATCTTGAAAATAACCTGCTCTTCAGTATCTCCTTACAGAATTTGGTGGAATATGTCTGCTGTTGGGCATATTGAAAGTAATCATTCTTTAGCAATGAGGAGCTTCTTTTTCTCTTAATTTAAAGTTTTGGAGTATGGTACGTTGAAGGACTGCAGGAAGTAAAATAAACTAGCTAAAAGTTGAGAGGAAGTGGTAATGTTGACTCAATTTTCTCTCAGGAGCACTTGGGAAAGTATATGTATTTCTTAATTACTATAGTGGTGATTTTATTTAGGTACAGTTTGACTTGTCCCAATGAAATAAGTATAATTAATTAAATTTATTGTTTTCTAAGTGTAAGAATTTTACTGTATATGCTTATTACAGGCAATTTAGGAAATACAGAAAAGTACAAAGAAAAAGATTAAAGTCATCTGCTATCTTAAAAAGTAGTTAAGGTGGTTTAGAACTGAGTTCATATCCTAGTTATTGGCCAGTGATGGTTATCTCCAACCAGTCAATAATTTAATAAATAATTCAACATATATTTACTCAATGCCCAGTGCTACTTTCCTTTACATTCCCTTGGGATCAGCATGACCTCAGTAGTTGACTTGGGTGTTGCTCTCGGTAAATAGGTCTTCGGGTCGCTCTCCCTTTTGCTCGGAGAGGGAGCCTTGTCGGGTTCAGCTGGGCATCTCCAGTGTTTAACGCACGGCTTACGGGACAGCAAAGGACAATCACTGGCAAAGGATAGTTTGGTGAATGAAATAAGCTTTTCAAATGTGTAGTAAAGCAAAGAATGGGAAGTCAAGGAATATAAAGGGCCTGAGCTTTGCTTCTTCTTTTCCCAGGAAGTTTGGTTGGGTTGACGTTCTCACATCACCTTCATGAAACCCAAGGTTACACTTGACTACCTAAGCTACTTCCTTTCTATTTTGGCTGCATGCATTACCTGGGAAACTTGAGGACCAAGAGCACCTCATTAAAATGCGAGTGTCTGCTCAGCCTGTAGAACTCCATCAGTCATGCCTAAGAGTACAGTCAAGTGGAGAGAGATTCCTACAACTTTGTACTCCCATTATAACAGGACTTGCTATTACATTTGTCTGTGGAAGGCTGTGGAATCAAACCACGCACCTGAAATACAGCCTGGTCAGCTGCACGAGATTGATAGGAGAATCAAACCAGACTGGATTCGAAATACTATTTAGAAGCAGAGGGAGATTCTGAACTAGAAGCCCAAGAGCCAGATCCAGGTTACAGAGATGTTTAGTTTGACCACACAGAGTTGAAAAAGTAATTGGACCAACATATAGAGATTTGGGGAGTTCATGTAAAAATTCATATTTTCATCTCTTCTGGAAAAATCTAAAAATGCTGGGAATGGCCACCCTAGCTCCTGCATGATAGCAACTGGCTGGGACTGAGGGGCAGCTGCTCTGGGTTATCTTATTGTCCTTTATCTTCCCTTCCTGGCTCCCATGTGAATTTGAATTTACCACCCCAGAACGTAGAGATTTACATACAGGAAGTATTGGGAGAAGGAAGTTTGGGGAAGGAAGTTGGGGGGAATCCGTTACAAGAGCATTTATGGTCCCTCTGTCTGGTGGCTCTAAAGGTGGTCAAATAGCTATGAAATGAAATAAACAAGCGTGCGTCTTTAATTAGAGAGCATTCCCTTCAGATGGATTTTATCAACACTAATAGCATTAAAATGAGATTCCATCCTCAGCAAAGAGCTCCTTCAGAAAGTAGATTGAAGCAATGGCCAAGCATCTGTGATGTGGCAGAGATGTGATTAATCTTGGAGACTGTTAATTATGTCCCGCAGAGGAGAGTAATTGTGCTCTGCAACATACTAATGCAGAATTATTGGGAAGGAATATGCCTTTTTAAAAAAATGCAGTTTTCGTGACATTTTATCATGCATAATTCTGAACTCTAATAGACTCTTTATTACGAGAGGATAATTTCCCCTCTGAGTTAATGCACCAGGAAGCAACTGCACTCTAATCTCATTAATGGTTGACATTGAAATGACTTTATATTTCCTACTTTTCCTATATACCCCATGTCCGCAACTCACAGTGGGCAAAAACCTCTCTCCCTGGACCACTAACCAAAAAGCACAAAGCGATGCAGTGCTTTATCTCCAAATCCAACAAAATACCCCGTGGCTCAGTGTCGGGAAAGCTCAATTTTTCCTAGATCCTGTTCTAGGAGTTAATTTGTAAGTCATTTGTTCATACCCAGAACATATTTGCCTGTCTAAACAATGGTAGCTCTGGTTATGGGGGATCCCTGATTCATCTGTAAAGAAAAAAAAAAAAAA